CCCCCCCCCCCCCTTCCACACCCCCCCCCAACCACACAAAAAAAAACTCACCCCCAAATATTTAAATTTAAATTTGGAGGGTAGATCTATAGCATATAAGATTTGAGGGGATTGTATACGCAAAGACCTTTAATTTTGCCGTTCAAATTAAAACTCCGACAACTGGAGTAGATTTTATTAGTTAAATATATTGATTTTTAATTCTTGTTGTCACCCACGTCAATTTTTTATGTCTCATTGGAAATGTTTGCCATTTTATAGGCCAATCTAATATTTTAGCCATTTATAAAGTTCAGAACGGTTTTACACAAATAAGTTATTCTTTGATCTTCTCCTAGGAAGAGAGATCATAAATGATTCAAGCATGTTTGGCAAGGAGTTAAAGTGGTTTATAAGCCACTTTTGCGAATTATAAACTATTTTGACGTGTTTGACAAAAATCTTATTTTCTCTTGTAAGCGATAAAAAATAAACCGCGGTGTTTTAGCTGTTTTTTGGCTTATAAGCCACAAACCAACTAAAAGTCCAATATCTATTCCTCAAATTTCACAAAATTCCAAGATCCATTTATCTCTCTCCAAACCTACTAAATATTTTTGGGTTTTTGAGATATTGATCCCCCAAATCTCATCAATTTGGATATGAGTTCCCCGAAGTCATATTTATATATAAATCTCCCAAATCATCATAATATAAGTCCCCAAATCTCATTTATTTGGACACAAGTTCCCTTTATCATATGGGCATTGCTACAGAGACCCTAAAAAGATGGGACCCCTATGGGACAGGTGAGGTGTCGGTTCCTGGGGGCGCGATTTACTGTTCATGAACAGTAAATCACGCCCCCAGGAACTGACAGCTCACCTGTCCCATAGGGGTTCTTTTTTTTTGGATCCCTGAGGCATTTTTCTTATCATATATGTGGATACAAGACACCTAAATTATCATATTTGGATACAAGTCCTCGGAAACTATTAAGTTGTTGAAACTACTAAGTTCTTTGAAACAGGTGCCAATGGTTATACTTAACACAACTTAGTTATTGTGATTGTTAGTTTTCTCGTTTCATTTTTGTCATTGTTTTCAACCTTACTCTCTTGCAAAGTAAAAAATTAAGCCCATGTATCCATTGAACCCATTGGAAACCAACTCTATCTTGCTAAACTTTCTTCAATCCCTCTAATTTAGAGTTGACTTCTAATGACTTGTTGCTTTAGTTGGGTTAAGCGGGTGGGAATTAATCATGTGTATTTGTTCTAAAAAAACTTAATAGTTTTGAGGGACTCGTATTCAAATACGATGATTTAGAGGATTCATCCAAAGAAATGAAACTAGTGGGACTTGTATCCAAATATGATATGTATCCGAAGAGATGAGATTTAGGGGACCATTATCTCAAAAACCTAAATATTTTTTGATCAATTTATCAAATAATGATGGTTTATAAGCTAACCATTTACCAAACACTTTACTATTGAAAATAGATTATAATTGACTAAATTTATCAAACATCTTAACTTATAATCAACTTACTTAAAATCCTTTGAAAATGGATTATAATTTACTAAATTTATCAAACATCTTCACTTATGATCCACCTACTTATAAGGGGTGTTTGTTTGCATGCAAGTGAAATATGAAAGGGAGAAAGTTACTTTCATTTAACAATTAAGGTGTTTGTTTTCATGTAAGTGATTATGAAAGTGAGATGCAAGAAAGTTACCACATATGATTTAGTAACTAATTTAATTAAATGATTTTAATTATACTCTCTAATTAATCTTATTTTGCCATGTCATCTTCACATTGCACTTTCGATAATAATTTAATTTTTCAAACAAACACTGTGTTTCACTTGCGTGCTGACATGGATGTAAAAACTATTTGCAAAAAAAATAACTTATATATTTTAAATTCACTTTCAGATTGTCAAACACCTCAATAATCCAATTATAAAATTTACGGTTTTTCTATAGAGTGCCATTGGGCACTCTATAAGAGAGGAGAGAGATAGAGAGAAATGAATGAGGAGGGGGCCCCCTGATTTGCATTGGGATCCTCTCTTCATTTATTTCTCTCTATCTCTCTCCTCTCTTATAGAGTGCCCAATGGCACTCTATAGAAAAACCGTAAAATTTATGCCAGTAAATTATAATCCTAAGTTGTCGAGCAGTCATTTTGTCCTCAACTAGCAAAGTGTGTGAGCGAGCATCAAAGTTCTCTCACCGCCTTTACAATTACATCCCTTTCATAATTTTGGTATATTTTTCTTATTTTATTTAATTAAACTAATTAATAATGCTTGCGTCCACAGGCCCAGCCCCCTCATTCTCATCTCTTCGTCCCAAGGTCCCATTTTCCCCACCAATTTCCTAAAAAAATTCTAAATTTTTATGATACCAACAATTTTTTTGATTAATTTCAGATGAGTTCACCGTCGAGTTCAGTTAAGACCCCCAAAGCTCTCGCCTTGAAGCCAATAGAGGCGACGCCGTCAACTTTCGCCGGGTTCGGGCAGGTGATCTCGGCGTCGCCGGACGGCGGCGTGTTCGGGCCCACCGACGCCCAGCTCGAGCTCCATCGAGGAGTCCCAAGGTGAGATTTTCCCATCCCATTTAAACAACCCTATTGAAAAAGGAGATTTCTTTTCCTGGTAACTGTCATAGGGAGGATACCCTAATCTTTATAAACCCATAATTATCTTGGTCGAACGATCATGGTATTAATTTTTAGGCTTTTGTACTAGGACTAGTTTCGGACGAACACTGCAACAAGCAATATGAGAACTCACTCAATATGAAATTGTGACCCTTGGCCTGCATTCTAACTTTAGGGCTTGTTTGGATTTGGAGGGGGTGAAGGGAAGTTAGGGGAACCTAGGGGAAGTTAAGTTAAGGGAAGGGAACGGAATTTCTAAAACTTGTTTGGGAAATTAGTAAGATGAATCAAGGAGAAGTTATTTCACTCCGTTTGGAAAGTGTAATAACAGGAAGGGAAGGGAAGGGAATGTATATAAATTGACATAAATACCCTCACATGTTAAAATTGAAGCTTTGCACGGAGGATATTTATTTCCTTATTGCACGGAGGCAATCATCTTCAGACATTGATTCTCAAGCAGTTTTTCTCCTCTGACACAGGAGACTGCAAAGCTCCTGCAAGTTGATTAAACCTCCATTATGCGTTCTAGTTACCAAACAAATGTCAACAATCAGGTCGTATAATTTAACTACTAATTGGATGTAAGCAAAAATAACCAGCATCAAACATTAGCAAAGACGCATTCCAATTCACTGGTTTGCATGGTCATATGGCTGATAAAATATAATCTCTATAGATGAAGTTGAAGTTCTGATTAGAATTGAACAGGAATTCTTTTTAGGAGAAATGGATATCCCGGCATAATCAGGATTCAAAGCTACGGCTTGCATCAAGATCATAAGAAGTGTTACTGGTTAGTAATGATGGCACTCACAGTGAACTAGACTATTGAACAAATTGCAAATAATGAAGAAAAGGTATAGCAGAATAGCTATGGATTTCATTAGAAGTTATGATTTTGATGTGGGGCCTCATTTTAGACTAGAAGCATAGCTTTATCATGCTGCAAAATAATACCCCAGAAAGGCACAAGAAAGTCGAACAGAAACCAAATATAGACCACATTCATACTAAGTTTGGAATGAAAAATAATAAGGACAGTCACATACCAACATACATACTAAATAGGCAAAAACAACTTACATAAAAAAGGAACATAATTCATAAAATCAAAGTTTTGCAATTAGCACATGTTTCTAGCAAAATATGACCACATTCATACTAAGTTTTGCCATAAGCAACGCAAAAACAAACAAGTTTGTAATTGCCACAGATAATCAAATTTGGCAATACAACTTACAAAAATAAATGTCAATAATACCAGCACATCCCACCTTCATAAGATGAGTACATAATAAGCTAATAACGTGATCGGGCTAACATGGATTCTCAAGATAACATCATCATAAGAAGTTCCTTGCGCTCTTCAAATGGACATCCAAGCAAAGCTTTTAGATCCTCTGGATGCTTAGTTAGGAAAAGATACGCTTGTTTAATTTGAGCAGTCTCAACACCAAGTTCAAGCAAATGGTTCCAAACATCACTACTTTTCATTGGAGCACGTTCAAGAGCTTGTATGTATTTATCACCAGTGGATTCAATTGCCTCAGCTATCCTCTGCATACCCTTTATCACCTCCTGATCAACAATAGAAATTTCGTCCTTCGATTTTCTAGTTTTCTTTTGTGAATTTGCAGTTGATTTGGTTTCAGGGGTAATCACATTTTCATCATTGTTGTCATTTGTGTCCTCATCATTAATCCTATCGAAATTCTCTAACAAAATTTCATTTCGAGAAACCATACCATCGATGTCGTCAATTGTATGAGAATCAAAGCCATTGCTTGCACTAAAAGCCCTCCTCCTTTCTCGTATCTCAGCCGCAGTTTCAACAAGTTCCCCATTTGCTCTATCATCTACAAAAAGCTCCAATAGTTTATCATAGTTTCGGATAGACCTGGTCCTCCATTCAGCAGCTTCTGGGTGAGCCTGAAACAGATTTGCACCAAATTTTAGCTCACCTTTCCAAGAGGGAAAAAGTTTCAGAAAACAATAAACTGAAACCAACTTCATTATTAGTTTCAGCACACTGCTGAAACCTGAAATGTTTCAGTTTCAGCAGTGTGCTGAAACTAAAACCTAAAATCAGGTTTCAGCACACTGCTGAAACCTGATTTCAGGTTTCAGTTTCAGCACAATGCTGAAACTGAACCTCTGCATACCCTTGTAATAAATGGCATTAATGCGATTAAAAAGAAAGAATGTGTACCTCGATTAGTCTATCCCAAACCTCAGGTTCCGCACTCCACAAACCCGTGCTTCGATTCCAAGCAAAACCACTTCCAACATTCTTAAATAAATCATAACAAACTGTCCATTTTGACTTCATATATTTCATGCGATTCTTTACTTTTTCCTTATCAAATGGCTTATCGGGAAAGCTTTGCAAAAGTTCGGCTACTATTTCATTATAAGCCGTTGATGTAAAATTCCCATCAACTCGGTTTCCCATAACATGTTGATTCAAGTAAGCATCAATTAGCTTATCTTTCATATTAGGAGTCCATATCAAAACATTAGCATTCCTACATCAAGAAGAATCACCTTCCACATTCCTTCTTTTCGACATCCTTTAATTCACACAATAATGTTAGAAGGAATTAATTATTCACAATTCAATAATTGAAAACTATCAATGAGAGATGACATGAGATCACAATAAATAAACTAACATTCATGCTACCGAATTAAAATGATATTAGTCTAACACTTATCAAGTACAACACAAATTGAGAAGATAACCCAAATAGAGAGTACAAATCAAACAAACAATAAGCATAACTAAAATAAATTATCGATGGTAATCTTGCCACATAGCAACTGCGATGCCATCTCTTTTCCACTCCCCTCTACGAACATCTTCGTCCTCGTCTACATCATCTTCTTCAAATTGATTTTCATTATGTTCCTCATCCCCTTCCTGAAATTCATCAGCTGGATCGACCCCCCTTAAAAAATTATACAAAATACAACAAGCTAAAATGATCTTGTTTTGTGTTTTAACACTGTAGTTTGGTTCATTTGAACTTGCTATAATGGGAAATCTTTTTTTTAAGATACCAAATGATCTTTCAATGGCATTCCGAAGTGATGCATGTCTTAGATTAAATAACTCGCGTGGATTCTTTGGTGGATTTCTTGAATACTCTTTCAAATGATAGCGTTCCCCTCTATAGGGTGGAAGTAATCCACTTCGTAACATGAATCCAGCATCAACCAGATAATATTTTCCTATAAAACAAGTTCATTTTGATTAGTAGCTTATTACAAAGACACAATTTTAGGCTTTTCTTTAGTTTATAATTACCTTGAGGAATCTTAAGTGGAAATCACCTTTGTAAAGCATTTTTAATAATTTTGGAATCAGATGCAGTTCCTTCCCATCCAGGCAAAACGTAAGTGAATTTCAAGTCAAACGTGCATGCGGCCAACACATTTTGTGTGGGATAGTCTTTCCTATCACGATATCTAGGGGCGTCTCGAGGAGAAACTTTTACTCGAATATGTGTGCCATCAATTGCCCCGACACAATCCTGATGTCATAAACATTAATTAAAATCTAATAAATAACAACCTATACAAGATTAGATGTGAAGGAAGATATCATCACCTTGAAATAGGGATAGAACTTTGAATTGGTGAGGATCTCCGAAGGAACTTGTGATCCATCGGGTTGTACAAAAAACATTTCCTACAACTCTATCATAGCTCTTAGAACATTATGAAAATGACGACTCACACTCTCTCCAGATCGTCCAAATATCTTACTTCACGAGTTGTTACACTGTGTCCCAACATGTATAAAAATTTTGCAACTTGTTCTTCAATAGTAGCCCTTCGAGTTGGTTTAAGCCCACCATTCATCTCTAATATTTCGCACAATTGGTTAAAAGCTGGTGGATTCATTCGAATCATTTCACGACATATAACTCTTTGAGACATTATTTCTCGCACAACATCTCTTACTTCTTTAGGTTCTTGAGGGTCAATATTTAATCTCCTAATCCTATCTCTTCGATGGACGAACCAATAAGCAAATAAGCAAATAGCATATCCAACCGCAATATTACATGTGTGTTGAAATTGGAACCATGCGTCCATTATCTATTCAACAAGTTAAAAAATGAGGAGTTAAGACATGGAATTTAATGTGTGTGTGTGTGTCTATATATATATCTACACAGTTTTTTCTAATCAATTCAAAATCTAATGTACTTTCTAATAATACTAAAAATGTTAGCAATCTTATGTGATGAACAACATTCCGTGCATTCAAGATGATTACAGATTTATGCTTTTTCCTCGAAGCAAAATAATGATAGCACTCATTCGAAACCATTTATAGAGAATCCATCTATTTGCTGCAACATGCAAACTAGATAGAAACAAAAAATGGAAGACCAACATCAATTAATATGATCTCTAGCTAAAATATCCATAATATTCCTAGATCTTGTTTTTCAGTTTTTTCACAACAAAACGCCAGAATCATGGAACACATTAACTTTGGCCTACCAAAACTGAGTAAGTTAAAATTTGGTAGCTTTTGAGTTAAATATTGTTAACATTAAATGATATTTCTTCTTAAGTTGAAAATGTGAAAATTTGCATGTTTCAGTACAAGGCATGAAGCAATATGCATCTTGTTATAAGTCATCCACCCAAAAGATGGAGATGAAAAAGAAAAGGTCTTTTTCTTTTCATATATGCAGTATTTTTTTTTTTAAATTAACGCTGAAGTCTTCATTCCATTGATTCATCGTTTCTTATGTTATTGACCAGCAATCTCAGCATTCTCATTTAAGATGCATATTGAAACCGTGTAAAAGCCTTAATAAAAATTTTGAAATATTGCAATGCTTGCAATTCCATCTTTGTTCCTTGCCTTTCTCATATGTAAGATAAATAATGCAATAAAATATCGTGGGAAAATCCCATATAAACAAACACCAACCAATTTCTAGCTGATCTAAATCGTAACTTGTTACACAACAAAGCCCTAAAGCTGAATCTATCACAAATTCTCAGGAAACAATCAATATTGACGCCTTCCCAAAAAATATCAAATCAAAACAATCGAAAATTAGGCGAGAAAATTTACCAAACCGTCGGAAGAAGAAGAGATCTGATGAGAGTGATGAGGAGAAATGGTGGAGACAAGATGCAGAGGAGGCGCAGTGGTGAAGAAGGAAAGGCGGAGGCGCAGTGGTGAAGAAGAAATGGGGTTTCTGAGAGCAATTTTCAACCGTTGGATTTTGATCTTAGCTAGGGGTAAATATGTCTCTCTACATTTGTTGTATTCTCCTTCTTTACCTTCACCCTGCTTACACCCCAAATTAGGGGGAAGAAATCCTGGTGTTTTCTCACCTCCTTTCACCTCCCCTCACCCTTATTAACTTGCTATATTTACTTCCCAAACAAGGTTAAAAGTTACCCTCCCTTCCCCTCACCTCCGTTACCCTCAATCCAAACAGGGTGTTAGAGTTTGGGCGCAACGGAAGAGACCATAATAAAATATCAAACTTGTCTAGGTTCAAATTTCCATCAAACATGCATTTAAAGTGGAGATACCATTAGTTTAGTTTTCGACCCATGGATATGCTATAATATAAAATTATAACCCTCAATCCTCACCCAGATTCGGTGTTTCGATGCAGTAGAGGGAGTTCCTAACAAAAACTAGGTATTAGAGAAATTAACGAAAAAAAAACTCCAAAAAGGGGGGATACAAGTATAAATGAGAATTCACATAACAACCTGACCCCTCAAACAAAGAGAAAGAAAATCTCTAAACCCCAAGTGATAATTTATAGGTAGAAGCAAGGCATCCTAGGAAACATCGTTATATAAAGGTCTGTGTTTCTCTTCAATGTAGCCTGAGACAAGTAACAAGTGATCGTCAGCAGTATTGCTGTATAAAGGTTTGTGTTTCTCCTCAAAATAGCCTGTGACAAGTGATCCTCTTCAAGTCTTCTAGTCTCTTTTGGTCATACCGAAACCGAAATAAATGGTGATCAACTTCATTTCAGTAAAGCCCTCAATCCTTATTGAGAATGAATTGCTCTATGTCGGTTAGAAGTTGTAGTCCTCTCAACTATGTTGACAATGATTCTACGAAACAATAGGACCCATGTATCCTAACTGCATATCAATTACTTTATCACAATTCGGAATTATAGCCCCCTTTGGCTCTATTGATAAACAGGATAAATTTGATCATCCACAAATCAATATAACCCTGTCCTGACTATATGACGACTAATCCATCTCAGTCTTCTAACCCTTTTGGCTTTATTGATGATAAGATAAACAGTGATCATCCCTAAATGAGTAGACACCTGTATCCTAACTGTAACTCAACTAATTTATCTCATTTCGGAATTATAGCCCCCTTTGGCTTTGCCGATAACAAGATAATCTATAAACTCATCATTGACTCTCCGGTTATGACTCAGTGGACACTGACATGATTTTTACTTCCCCAAGATTCTACATCATGCACATAGAAGATCGAGCGCTCAAGTTCAAGACGATCACACATCACGCCAGCGTTACCCAGTGCCTTGGCTCTGTTGGTGGTCATGAATGGTTTCTTGGGGTCGCTAAGGCTTCGATTGTTGATGAGAGTAAGATTGATGACGGTGATGATGGAAGCAAAGTGGTTAGGTCAAAATGTGGGCATTTGTATGTGCCGCCTAATCCTGATGATGTGAGAGTTTTTCGGGTTGAGGGGAGCAAATTCTTGAAGCTTGATGTGGGGACCTGGCATGCTGGACCTTTGTTCAAGACAAAGGCAATGGATTTCTACAATTTGGAGCTTAGTAACACTAATGTCAGTATATTCATTTTTATTTTGGTTAGTTTATGTTCAGTTCTTAGTTCATGCATATTGTTACTGTTTGTTGCATCTTATTCACCTTATCGGAGTAGAATGCTGGAAAACACACGCATCTTATTAATTAGCTTGTGAAGAGACATGTCAAAGTATAAAAGTATGTCTACAAACGAAGTTAAGCCTAGACAAAATGAACCATGACCTGGAACTAAAACCTTCAAATCATATGAGATACAGGCTCCAAGACAAAAAAAAACCAGGACAATCTTTCTTCTCACCAACTTATCTGATGTTTCATTCATGATTATTGATGAAATCCCGAGCCAACTCCTTCCTAAGATTAACTTCAATTTTTCATATCTTTATGTCCAATTTTTCCCCTAGGTCGGATGTGTAAGTAGTTGCTATGATTGTTTAGATTAGGTTCTAATGAACCATAGTTCGTCATGTTTTCTATATCTTTTTTTACTACCATGGTACTGTTCAATTTTCCTTTGTAATTTTGTAATGTTCTAGTAAAGTTTCAGAGCATCTTAAAACACAACTTTTCCCTGATTATAATGACTGTTTATATTCTCGAGAAGATTTTGTTCAACTTGTTAACGGTTCAACATCTACTAAACCTTTTGGCTGGAATTGTGAAGGATCCTACCCATCCCTTTGGATTTTATCAATAGCAAAAGATATGCAAAACATGATGGTTGATGTACTAGCAAAAGAGATGCAAAACATTGTGTCTGAACTTATGAACTCAGCTATGAGTTACTACTTTCCGACATAACTTACTGATTTAACTCAGCTATGAGTTACTACTTTCCGACATAACGTACTGATTTAACTCAGCTATGAGTTACTACTTTCCGACATACCGTACTAATTTTTATTTAAATTCTGCATGCCCAAAAATGCTATTTGTTTTCCATGATTAAGTTGTTTGTCCTTCATTCTTTGCTGGAATAACCTAAACTTTTCTTGTGATTGCATGCTAAAATTTGGCGATTTGCTTTAATCTGTCCTAATTTTCTCAGCTCTGCGGATTTTACTCTGCGGAATATATATTTGACGCTAAACTCTCTCCTTACCATCTTCTTGGTGCAGGAGGTGGATCACACCACTCATAATTTTGTTGAGAAGGATGGGGTTGTCTTCTTAATAGAGGATTAATGTACTTGTCTTCTTAGCATAAATTCAACCCTCATGGTTTACTTGCTTTTGGATTGTACATGTGCAAAGGAATTTGGCTTCTGTCTGTTCTCCGATTACTGTTCTTTCTGAGATTTGTGTTAGTTTCTTATAATTGGAGTAACGTATAACGGTTGTCGGTTGTCGTCGCATGTGTTTGCTCTGATTGTTTAATATTTTAGAAATTACCTCTCGGATTTTGCTCTTTGTAAATTTGCCTTCAACCTCATCTGCAACCTTTAGCTTGCCCTGTTAATTGTTGTTTCTTTGTTTTTATCATCTTCAACATGCTTGAAAGGATTTGTTTCTACTTGCTTCTGGTGGCAAATTCGAAATGACAGCTGATAGAGTACTTGTTGAAGAAAATTCCTGGGTAAAGAAAATCTCTCTCTTTTTATGATCCTTATATATAAATACTGAGAAGGAATTCCCTTTACATAATAAATTTATTATGTACAACAGGTACCCATTCCATAAACACAACATTAGCACAATCATCTACACCAATAAATCTCAAACAAAGCTAAAACGCATGAGGAGCCGAACAGAGTTGAGCTTCTTCCCTCTCTCGTCGTAAAGAGGCACACATCGGATTCCAGGTCTCAGCTCAGAAACCGGAAGGCAAGTTTGGCCTCCGAAATCATCTTTACCTGAAATATCATCCTCGTGAACCTCAAGACGAAGCAAAGCGAGCTCTGGAAGTGTCAATGGAAATGTGAATTCTTCGTCCCAAACTGGACTCCACTCGTCTACTATCGTTCTTGTTTTCTTCATTATTGTATCTGCTGGTACTCCCGCTATTCCTATCTGTTTATGCGAATGTATCAGATATTACAAAATTTTACGGGATTTTATGGACGATAGCATAATATATCAATCATCAGTTTTCAACATATTTGCCTGCACATGTTGCTCTAAAGGATATATTTCTATTAACCGCCCAACATTATTTTCAGGAAACTTCCATGAACTTCTGTCAATAGGGTTTCAGAAAACACGCATTATGCCTTTAGAGGGGC